ATCATTTCCTTCATAATACCAAAGAGAAGGTATATATATATCATCTGCTGAGGTCCAGACCTTCTGTGAGTTTTCTATTTCTTGAACTCTCTGCTAAAACTTGCTCTAAGGATTTGATTTTCTTGATCACGGCATCTCCGTGTGCAGTCAGGCTCCTACTTCCTTCAATATTTCCTGGCAGAGCCACTACCCTTTGTTTCTTGCTAATTTATTGCATATCTCTGATTTAACTTTCCATAAAGCTGATGGAGCCTGATATGGTATGGATAAATTCAATGAAGACTTCCTTCTCATTCCTCGTTTCAAGGGCATCCATTATTGTTTTTGTTCCAATATGTTCCCCCTAGTAGGTTGGAAGCACAACTGAGGTTCATGCTCGACAGCCGTTCACACGCGAAAATCCAAACGTTTGGACATTAGCCCCGCCCACAAAGTCAAGATGAGTCTGACATTCATATCGAGCGCTCGACGAGCGCGCTCTACACCAAATATCCTGTTCACCGTGGGTACGTTCGAACATCACTTCAACATGTGGTTGTCGAACCTGGCTCGACGAGCCGCTCGTCGCGTGGTAAACCCCGCTTAATAACACACACGTTACAGGTGGACCGCCCAACGAGAAGGGTCATCGTACCACTTCGCCTGGAATACGACGGTAATAGAGTGTATGGCTGGAACGGCGCAACCGGTACTGCTCGGTCTCGGTGGTGGTGGAAGGCGTGAGCATCGAGTCTAACGGGGAGTATTTCATCAACGCATCATAGCGATGGTAAGTACCATCCTATTCACGAACTGCGGTGCTGAGTTGGTTGTGTGACAGAAGCTCCCTTTTTCTTTCAGTGTTGGCAGCATATATGTTTATAGATTTCTTATTTTATCATATACTTTTTTAACCAATCGGTTCACATATCGCATTCCGGGTTACTTGGCTTTCATTTTCGTTTCTCGTCGATGAAGAAAATTGTCCTTGTTTTCAGAGAGACTGCCCTGGATCTGGACCTCAGGCCGTCGCAAGGAACGCAACTTCGCTTTGGCTTCGGAAAACTTTCTCGTCTGAACTGGTCTCACACAGGACTGTAATTTCAACGCTTGATTTTGCATTTTTGTCTGTCTGATGTGCTTTCAATCCGTCGAAACCAAAACTAAACAAACTAAAACAAAAGGAATGTGCACGAATATATAACTGATTATATGAAACATACTATCTTCGTTTTAATTCATACGCCATGTTTTTTTCTTCCTTTAATTAGTTCGTAATATTCAAAAGACCCCCCAAAACATTTAATTAGTTAATGGCCACAATCCTTCTTTTAAGCAACAGACATTCCTTTAATCCTCCTTAAAGAAAATAAAACCAACAAACAGCAAAACCAACACAACACTCAGCAATCTTGTCCTATACACAAGTAAAAATCACATGCTCTTATATACAACCAGTACAAACAAGTGATCCACACGGGCCACACAAGGTAGTCTTATACATAGGACCAAACATCTTATCCATCTAAAAGAAACAAAAAACGAATTCCTCATAAATCCAAACCCACTTCTCTCCCCCCCTCCCCCCTCAACCCCCATCAGTATTGGCAAGAGGCAACCTGACAACGCGACCGAAGTCAGGAGGCGAGAACTGCACCTGGCTATCCTCAACAATTTCACAAGGATAGGCGTCAAATGGCACGATGTGGAGCAGTCACGAGAGAAATCATTATCTGTGGAAGTCAAACTGAAAATCACTAGGGAAATGAACGACGTGAACGAGTGAAACGATGGTCTTCCCAATGAAATGTGAGCGTATGTATCACTGTCCATGGGTTTTGGAGATCATCGTGACTTTCGGTGAAGAGGCGCGTCATCGGAAAGTGTCTTATTTTATTTCGGTAATTAGTTAAAATCTGGAAATAAATTCAAATTTGCTTTAATCTGCATGGTTCTTGTCCTCCCTTTTGAATTCTCTGTCGGTTTAATCGTTAGTGTTCAAAAGTATAAAACTAAATGGAATTCACAACGATGCGGTCGCGATAAAAGAGAGAAAGAGAGAGGAAGAAAAAAAAAAAACTCAAGATAGACTGCAATTCGTAAAAAAATAGGTCAAACTAAAATAACATCAACAACAAAAACAAATTTATGCGAGTTATTGAGGAATAACTGACATCTCTTGGCAACCTCACACACACGAAAAAAAAGTTTATACGTATTTGAAAATACATTTACAATAAGTAAGTCCACTAGTGTTACGTTATTTTGGATAATGGTTATTCACAATATTAAGGAATACTGCACATATTTACCTTACCCCTAAGTATGACATATTACGGTAATCTTTCTGAAGAGGTAGTTTTATTTTGTAAATAAGTTATTCCTTTAAGATTTACCCACGTAAAATTCGAATCTAGGAATATTTTAAAACAGTAGCTTAATGACTAGGAAAAGTTATCAACTTGCTGTACTTTTTATCATTGTTATTATTATTATTATTATTTAAGTATTATATTATTATTCTTATATTATAATTATAATTATTCTATATTATTATTTGCATTATTATTATTATTACTATATTATTATTATTATTATTATTATCATTATTATTATTATTATTATTATCATTATTGTATTGTATCATTATCATTATTATTATAATTATCATTAACATTATACTATATTAATTAACGTGAGGGGGTATTAATAACAGATCTTTTTCAACAACATAAGCAACACGTAAGGATTAATAGACAACAAAAGGACATTTTCGTCTGTAAATCATATACGGCTTGACTCTTGAAACCTAATTCTTAGTTCACGCTCATTTTCCTGACTTCCAATCTCACCAAATTAATAAATTCAGTTATTTGTTTCGCCAAGATTTGAAAATAAATGGCGGGTAATCACGCAAGGATCATTCACCACAAGGTTCTACACCTTTTAATTACCACGCCCTCGTTAGGCATTTGTCTTTCCCTCTACGCCTCCCTTGCATCTGTGATAAAATCCCTTCAAGACTTTATTAAAGAAAAATTAAAGGATGTTTTGTTAGTGTTTTTAATTATTAGTGGCATTTTAATAAAGTTTCATTTAAGCGACCATGCTCGTCTTAGAGATAATTAAAACAAAGAAAATAATTAATTAAAGATAATTTAATTGAATTAAAGATAATTACTTAAATAAAGATAAAGATAAGCTAAAAAATTTTTAACAAAGATAATTCAAAAATGACTACCTTTTTTCTAAGTTCGCGACCTTTTGGAAAATATGATTTACACCTACTATTTTGTATTACTTACGCTCTTCTTCTATCGTATAC